CAGCTGTCTGTTTTGACAGACGAATCCGATGCGGTGGGCAATGCCGACGAGGATCTCTCCAAGTCGTGTGAGTAAATTATAGAAGCCGTAAGGAGTAGCACCACTCACCCACTTCGAGTTGCGATTTTAATTTACCTTCTTTTCTTTCTACTTTTCTTTTTGGTAACGTTTCATATAACTTTCGGTTGTACTTTTGGATTTTCGGATTTGGTTAAACCAAACACTACCCAACCCACTATCCACCTCCCACACTCCTACACTCAAAACGGTTGACGGACACACAATCTGCACCACCTCTAAACCTATTTCTCTTGCCCACTCGCTCTGCTCGATTCTGTCTGATCCTCCAGTCGTTTTCGTCCAAGTAGGTGGCCAGAAAAAGGAGCTGCGTCCGGTTGAATCGCTTGCAACATCGCCAAAGCACAGGGCGAGTATCTCTGCGGGGGCAGCGATGAGTGTGGAGGTTACCATGGATCGAACTGATGGCGGAAGGGGGGAGGATAGCGTCTCAATTGTGGGCCCCTCCATACAGCATCAGCACTCCCTGGATCAGTCCGTCACCACCTCCATTCGCCAGGTGGAGGCCTCGCAGTTTGACGTGGATCTCGTGTTGGCCGAACCGCTGGACAAGATCCTGGACCACAAGTCCGTCAAGGAGAAGCGCCTCGAGATGGAAAAGAAGCTTGAGTCGCTGCGCAAGAAGCACGACAAGGAGAAGGTCAAGATCGCCGGCCAGAAGTCCAGTCCTTTGGAGGGCAAGAAGCCCAAATTTACCATCCACACTAAGCTGGTGAAACGGCTAAGCAATAAAAGCCTGTAAGTGTTGGGGCGGGGACATTTCTCAGTGGGCGTGGCACTGCCAGACGACGCCATTGAAATTAGTAATTGTCTCTCTCCGCACAGCGAGCCCGGCGTGGAGATCCCCGCATGCCCTCTGGATCTGGGCGACAGCAGCGAGGAGAGTGCAGCAGTCGATGCTGGAGAAGATTTGGCTGGCGGGAGCAGCAACTTGGATGGCGGCACCCAAGAGTCCCGATTGCGCAGTGCCTGCCGCGAGTATACATCCCAGTATCGTGAGCTGCAGGAGAAGTACCACGAGGCCATCTACACCGCAGCCGAGAAGGTGCTCAAGACCTCGCAAAGCGGTCAAACGAAACAGCTGAAAGCATCATTGGACAAGGTAATCGGCGAGGTGATGCACCAGCTGCAAGAGGCGCGGCGCAATGAGGTTAAGAACCTGGCCACCGTGCACAGGGATCGGGATGAGCTGGTCAGGTGGGTGGTGTACCTTTTTCATATTTCTCTCAAAGTGTATTTATCCATTCATATTATTTCATTTCAGGATGAAACGCGAGGTGGCTAGCTCCGTAGTGGAACGTGGTGTTGCGGAGCGAGTTCGCCTGAAGCAGACCTTTGACCGGCGCACGGATGAACTGCAGAAGCAGCACGATTCAGTGCGCAATGCCCTGACGGAACACCGCTCCAAGGTAAGTCCACGGAATTAAATGCATCACGTTTCAATCTTCTTTTTTTAAAGTTATAAAATGTAGCATAATTTTGACAAACCAAATAATTAAACATCTATATCTCATATTCACAGGCCCGTCAAATTCTCGACAAGGAAGCGGAATCGCGTAGCTGTGTCTCCAGCAATGGCTTCTTAGTGCTCTTCCACGGACCCCATCACCACGGATGTTCCGGATCTGGATCGTCGGCCATTTCTGGCAATAATCTCACTCTGAATCTGGACGCGGGGGCTGCCGCTGGTCATTCTGCCATTTCGCCGGCCAAGTCTCACAATAGCATAGCCGCTGCAGCAGAGATGAAAACGTAAATGGATCTCTCGCAGCCACGGTTTTCCTCTCCGCCCCAAACTATCCCTAGGATTAATTGTGGTTCTACAGTTGTTAGTAGTCAGTATTTGCAAAAAACAGAAATGAAAAAGTCTTCGTAGAGTTAAGCAACGGAGGAACCCTACCCTCTGACACTTATTTGACGAGAACTGACCTCGATTAGTTCCAAGTCTTGGGATCCTCAGACCTAAGACTAAGTGTAACTCCCACTGCTAAGGGAAATTTAAGCGAAACGCGTTTTCTAACTGAACAAACTAGTTGTAAATCTCTCTCATGTATGATGTACTTGTAGTATAACTGTTAACGTATCCTTACTTTGCAGTACCTTATCTGTATACTGTGACTATCGGTGTATATCTATGGTGTGGATACAGTCCATCGAACCCTCGTCGAACCGTACGGTTTCTTCCTATTCGAACTTCGCTGAAACTCTGAGTGTCTAGTTAAACAAACAAACGTAACAGAAGCAGAAACTAAGAATAATTTAATTTTCGAAACGATGGAGGTCGAGTGCTCCATTTATCTAATGCTAATTGTGGTTGTGTGTATTACTCTTTTACATAAGTTTTATCCGATCTAATTTATACAATTAGTTTAAGGCTTTCCCGTAAACTGTGGGATGAATCTCGTGCGCACACAAGGCGGCCGTGGGAGCGGATGCTGAAACGAATGCCGGAGCACAAGTCTAGGCCAACACTTAGTCAATTATTTTTCGGTTGGTTGCTATTTATTCTTGGTTTAGTCACTATTTTCTTTATTTAGTTGTTACAAAGCTCCAATAAAAATCTATATTGAAATGTTTTTCACACTATTTTCCCCATTTCCACCTTGGCCCAACGTATACACACACACGCGCACAGACGGCGTCGCACACAACCTACAACACCAAAAATACAAGAAAACGAACGGCCGTTTGCGATTTGCAGGGTATCACTCACCGATACATGAAGGTGGCCCTCGAGTTGTTGACTTAAGCCGCAGTCTCAAGACAATCAAACAATAAAATATGCAATTTTGAAGAGTATATTTAACCTTTTTTGTAGAACAGACGCCACTCCTTAGGTAATCAAGAAAGAAATTCAAATAAACCCAAGCTGCCTTGTAACAAAATCCAAAATTCAAGCATAGCCCACAACATACATACGAGTACGTAATCTAAACGAACACTATGAGAATAATCAAATCAATGTTGAAAGTACATTTCACTGGACGGCAGAACCACCTTAGATGTTGTAACTTCCCGTAACTCTTACTCAAGAACCAACTCAATCTCTTCCCCAAGCCCAAAAAACGTGATCTGAGCCCGCTCTATCTCGCTCGCATTTGGTCCCTTAATCCCAATTGATGTTGTAATTTTTGATGTGCGTGTGCCGTAGATTTCATATTAAGAATGTTCCACAAGATACGATATATCTACATAACAAACAAGCAATATCCAGAATGTTGGTATCTAGCTGCTGAATGTATGTACGTGTGCGTTCTCCAATATTTGCATCGATGTCGGTGTTGGTTGTCTATCGTCTATCTCATTCGGTGTCTATCTCTGTGTAATTGTGTAATTGGCTTAACTTATCCAATACAGCAGCATTAACACTGTAGCAACTCAGCAGAAATTTGAAAATAGTTTTGGTGTTGTACGTATGTAAGCATTACTCAATCAACTATATCTGCATCCGTATCTGTGTGGTGTCGATGTTGTTCACTGTCCCTACCGTTGATGTTGTAGTTGCTTTCTTAACCGCAGACTATCTTTTGCATGCCACCCACAACCTTATACCCACTTCAATAAAAGGCTTTAATCGATGTTTGTTGTTTACGTGTGTTTGTTAAGCTAAGTTAAAACTTATCTCATACATTATACGACGATGAAATTTAAATTGAAAAGCAAAATCGGTGTCAAACACCAGCAACCCGAAGAGCAGCGTATGATTTCGAAGGAACAAGAAATCAATAAGAAAATAAATACGAAAACAATTTAGGTCATAACTGAGAGCAAAAGTTAAATTTTGATCAGAGCAACTAACGAATTTGTTGTTGCCTATAACATAAACTAGTTAAATAAATGTTTAGACTTATCCTAGAGTTATATATGAATCTACATACATATTGAGGAACAGAAACCCATTGTTGCAATAATATTGCCTAGGCACTTATAAAGCGTTTACCGAAACCAAACTCTTGATGTTAGCAAGAATTAAAGAAAAAGTTTACTCAAAACTAGTAAAATTAATCCAAATTTACAAGATAAACCGAGGAACATTTCGCCCTGTACTAAATTGAATTTTTAACAGTTTACAAAACTATCGAAATTGAGTCGTTGTTTTCCATCAAATCAGATAAATTTCTTGAAGAAATGACATTCATTCAAATTAATCAGATTTCAACTAGAACAACAATTTTAAAAGCATACTTTTGGGCATGTTCTTTATTTAAGTTTAAAGCATACTTTTGGGCATTTACTTTATTTTCGTTGAAGGGGCGGAGCTTCGTCATCAGCTAACGGTTGTTTTCCAGTGAGATTTTAGTAATTTTTGCCAGCCGACACTTGCTGCGTATTATGTTCGCCTGGTATCTGAAATCCAGAAATCAAGCAATTTGGCTGAGAAAAATGATGCGTGGAGGTGCTTTTTGTCGAGCGAATTGTGAGATTTATGATTTGAAGCACCAGGCGAACATAATCATTAGTAGGTGGACGACTTTTAGTTTTTGCTTTAACCTTTTTCTGTCGATCCGGCAACCTTTTGAGTGAAATTAAAAACTATCTTTTTATGCCGATCTGGTAGCATGATCAGTTAATGGGCGGAGCTTCCTTTCCAACTAACGGTTGTTTTCCAGTGATATTTTACTCAGACTTGCCAGCAGACACATCCTACGGATTATGTTCGCCTGGTATCTGAAATCCAGAAATCAAGCGTTTTGACTGAGAAAAATGATGTTCGGAGGTGCATTTTGTCGAGCGAATTGCGAGATTTGTAATTCTAAGCCCCAGGTTAAGTTTTGGACTCCCAAAAACGAGCTTACCAGCCCCATTTCGGTCCTTTTTAGATTTCTTGATTTACAATTTGTGTATTTATCGGAATTGGATAAAATAAATTATGCAGATCGGTGCTATAGCATCCCGAAAGTATACTGTAAGAATAGTTGATCTATTTGAATGCCGCTGAAACCATTTTCCGGCGGCAATAAGTAAAACAATTTAATTAAAATGTGTACATTTTTAAATCAATTAAAGTCAATGTTTACAATGGAATTCATTAGTTAAATCAAATAATAATGTCGAACGAAAATCAAACAAAATTACTCCACATTGTTGTTGTGATCCGCAGAAAAAAATAATAAACGTTAAACCAAGACAAATACAGCGTTTTAAATTTGTTTAAAAAATTGACTTAAGACTATAGCAAACCTTTTAAACTTATGTCTAGGCAATATGATACAGTAAACATGATAAAAAATAAAAAATCTTCGAAACGAATTACAAATTGGTACAACAAAATTAAAAGCTCTCGGACCAAATTTACAATTTGTAGCTCAAGTTGAATTACAATACGATATGGAAACAATATCAGGTAAAATCACACTATAAAGCTTAAAGATTATATACTTTTCTAAGGCACCATCGGCAGACTCATTGTTTTTTGTTTTGGCTTTATCACAACATCTGAACAAAGACCAGGCTAAGCAGCGATCCCACAGCCATGCCGCAGCTTAAAGCGGCTGCCATAATGGAGGAAGCAAGCTCCTTTTCGTGCTGCCTCACGCTTTTTGGGGCCATTATGAGCAGTATGTTGGTAAAATAGCCGTTCGACAAGGCAAACATGACCATCATCGCAATAAAAGAGTAGTCGTGTTTAACCAATATAGGCAGGAAACTGTGCTCGGTGGAGTTTGAGCACAGAAAGAACGGAACGAACGCCATGCGAGCTACGGTAAATAGCAGCGAAGTGTTTTGGTTGATAGGTCGCTCTAGCCAGCCAGCCAAAAGACGTCCAAAGTAGTCGCCACAGTTGAAGATCAGATAGTTGACTACGGGCAGGTAGTAAACATCTAAAAATAATTATTTTAGAAAGCAGTGTTTATGAGATATATGTTAAGTTTACCCGTCCACTCGCTGTGGCCATACTCTGACTGCATTAGCACTGTAACCGCCGGATAGACTGACAATGTGGTGGTGTAGAGAAGGGCCAGGCAACTCGCATGCAGATAGATCTTTGACATGACCTGCTTTAAAATTGGCTCGAGTGGCAAGCCCTCTGCTTCTTCATTGCGGTTATGTGAGGGTACTGCCCGGATGACCTTGTACTTGTCGCCACCCTCAAGGTAATACTTGAAGAAGGGCTGACGTGCCAGAATCACATAGCACACTATGCAGTACAGAATGAGCACTCCACCCATGATAAAGAAGATGAAGGCGGTGGTATTGGGACCCGTGTCAAAAGCGAGCACGAGTATAAAGGCCAAGGCAGTGAGAATGCCCCCCAGAGCCTGTCCGCTGACCACAGCGGTGATGAACTCGGATGGAAAGCGTCCTGCGACTCCATACAGGGCTCCCGACATAGTAGCCGCAGATACTGCAGGAAATCAATGTTATAATGTGTTTAATTAATATCCAGAACTACTCACTATTAAGCAGCACCACAATGATAAGCGTGATCAGGAAGAACTGCTCCTGCCACGTGTCCGTATTGACCTCCACGAAGCCAGTAGTGACTCCGAACAGGGCGAGAATAACACAGAGCGTGCCCAGCATCTTGGTCCGCAGGGACACATGGTGACCGTAAATGGCATTTAGCAGGAGGAAGACTGTTCCCGAAATAGTGGCCGTGAGGGCCAAATCGCAGGTGAAGCTCTTCTGCAGCGGGGTGAGTTCTTCGTCCACATCAGTGGCATTAATTGATGCATTCCGGAACTTGTACTTCCAGTACTAAACGAGAGAAAGAGAGGGTTAAAACTTGAGTCAGCGGTAAACAAAGGCAATTGAAAAGAGAGTTATCGTCTCAGCGAGGGCCGTAGAAACAATAACAAAGCTGATAAGCAATGCGCCTTAGAACTACGCTTGGCCCAGTTGTGCAGTTGTTTTGATTTTGGATGTCCGAAGTTCAGTTTAATCGATTAGGATGCGGGTGTACAAAATTCCATTCATAAACTCACATCTTCTGCGGTGACAAAGAAATTCCAGGGGGTCATTGTGCCAATGCCCAGAAGGTAAAACACAAAGTAGGTGAAGAGCCTTCCTCTGAATGGTTCGTTGGACACCAGGACCACTTCGTCCTGCTGGCGCTCAAGTAAACATTGCTCATCCGCCTGGTGGTCAATCGGTCGAAAGGCGGGGACAAAGCTGCTCTCCGTGCCCAGAATCTCATCATCCTCGTCCTGGGCGCCCAATAGTCGCCGTGTGTCATTGCTTTCTGGCATTGTTCTATAGTTCTCTTTATCTACAACGCCATCGACTTCTCGTTAACTCATTCAGAAACAGCTGGATTTTGCAGATGTAAGGATGAGATTAGTTATATATCAGCTGCAATCAGTGTGTAAACAGCAAGTAAATTAGTTAACAAATAAAACAAAAATAGTGCTAGGGGTGGAACAAAATTATTCTTCACTTGTTAGTATCGATATGACAAGAAATTAAAATATCGATTATTTTGACTAGACAAACCAGCTTTACAACGGCATTCACCCAAGTTGGCAGCCCTTGGCGCGCAATATTATTAGATTCAAATAATATCTTAACTCTTCTTACTTATTCCCTTTTCGGGAATGTGCCACTGCATTTCATTTGCTAACCGAGCGTCCATCTCGAATCTTATTTAATTGCCAGTCAATGCAGCAACAATAAAAAACACCAATAGCAAGCAGCCCCTAGTACTGATGATGAATGAATGCAATTTGTATTTAATCAATAAGCACGCCCGCAGTGTTTTAAATCAGCGCACAGCTTCGTTTTACGGCTTAGCGCCAGTCGCAGGATGCGATCCGCCCTTCCCCCTTCGACTATCGAGTGGTTGGGAAATTTTAATTGGATTTGCATTCGCGATCGTTCCGAAACCCGTTTACACATGCTCCATCTCTTTCTGCCTCCTGTCCCCTTCTCTTTCTGACCCCCTCAATGGCCGGAACATAAATTTATTTTTAATTTACTTATGCGCGAATTTCCGAGCTCTGCCCTGCGGTTGTTTGATTTGCGAATTAAACTGAAAGGGTCTTCCGAAAAGGAGCAGCAAAAGGAGAGACTCGTTAGCGCAGTTGGCCAGGTGAAAGAGGAGGATCATCGGAGGAAGTGTCCAAGGATCGGCTTCGATTGTCATCGCTGGGCTTGCAAATTAGATTAGTTCATAATGATCGCGAGGGGGTTTCGCATCCCAGGGAGAGGCGTGCCATCTCATTAATTCCGTAAAAATGCTCCTCCGACTGCCCAACTCTAGAGGCCCAATCAATCTCTCGAGGGTATACCGATTCCCCTTTGCGGGCCACACACTCAGCCTCGATCGGCTGGCAATTTAAAAATCACATTAAATTAGTCAGCAAGAAATCACCGCAACGAAACCATCAACAAATCATCTCAAATTAAATTCATTCAGAGAGCAAAAGTGGATGTGGATGGGCTGATGAGTAGCTAGTCAGTTTGAGCAACTCATCTCCCATTCATGCCAACGGGTAGCACTACGAGATCAGGACTGAACGCTCACTAGCAGACTTGGCAATTAATAAAAATGTAAATTCAATTAAATTTATATGACAGCTGGCTGTCAGAAGAGCTCAAATTAAAAATTACTAACAAGACCTGTTCCACATCCGAGCCGAGAGCTACTCGTACTTCCCCGTCGAGAGGAGCTACTTGACGAAAAGACTCGGGTGCAGGCCACGCTTAATTAAAAATCCAACAACTCCAGCTCACAGACGGAGATGATGGAGATTGGCCAGTGGATATGGATACTGCCCACCCTCTCCGCGCTCCACGTTTCAGTCCAGGGTAATTCTCATTTGCCGGACTTCAATTTGAGTGACGTCCTCCGACCACCCGAGGTGATCTTCTCTGGCTTTTTGGGTAGCAAAGTGCCAGTTGTTTGGGACGCTGGACAGCCGCCGCTTAGCATGGAAAACTTGAAGCACTTTTTATAGAGTTCTAAGCCAAGAATTGTAGGGGCTATTTTATATTTGTCTTATTTTTTCAAACACACTCGCCATTGATAATCGTTTTAAACAGTTGTCCTAATAAGTAAAATGTCAATTTAATAAATCCTGATAAAAAACATAGGCCGTTTTTACCAAATTTCGATCGGCAAGATTTTTTAACACCAAAAAAATACGATTTTTACTTTTGCACTTCCCAAATTAACTGCATAGTTAATGGCAAAATCCGGAGCATCCGGAAAAATTAACTTTTATTGCGGTTTTTTGATCAAAACCTTGGGAAATAATGGTCGCACGATGGAATGCCATACCTCGTTGAATTCGTTATAAAATTTCCAATCGATTGGCATTCACAGCTAAAAAATTTCATTTTGGTCGATATTTCGCCAAAAATGACCCAAAAATAACCACTTATGAAAAATGACAAAATCCGGAGGATCCAGAAAAATCCACTTTTCTTGCTGTTTTTGATCAAAACTATGGGAAATAATGGTCACACGATGGAATGCCATACCTCGTTGAATTCGTTATAAAATTTCCAATCGATTGGCATTCACAGTTAAAAAATTTCATTTTGGTCGATATTTCGCCAAAAATGATGAACTAACCCTTTATGAAAAATGGCAAAATCCGGAGGATCCGGAAAAATCAACTTTTATTGCGGTTTTTTGATCCAAACCATGGGAAATAACAATCACACGATGGAATGCCATACACCTTTGAATTCGTTATAAAATTTCCAATCGATTGGCATTCACAGCTAAAAAATTTCATTTTGGTCGATATTTCGCCAAAAATGACCCAAAAATAACCACTTATAAAAAATGACAAAATCCGGAGGATCCAGAAAAATCCACTTTTCTTGCTGTTTTTGATCAAAACTATGGGAAATAATGGTCACACGATGGAATGCCATACCTCGTTGAATTCGTTATAAAATTTCCAATCGATTGGCATTCACAGTTAAAAAATTTCATTTTGGTCGATATTTCGCCAAAAATGATGAACTAACCCCTTATGAAAAATGGCAAAATCCGGAGGATCCGGAAAAATCAACTTTTATTGCGGTTTTTTGATCCAAACCATGGGAAATAATGGTCACACGATGGAATGCCATACATCGTTGAATTCGTTACAAAATTTCCAATCGATTGGCATTTACTAACCCCTTATGAAAAATGTCAAAGTCCGGAAGATTCGGATTTATGATCAAATCCCTAGGAAATAATGCGCATATGTTGGAATGTCATAAAAATTACAAGTTTTTAACAAAATTATTAAATACATATAGCTGTTTTATATCTGCTATACTAGGCGTATGGTTCTATGCAGTTAATTTGCGAAGTGCAAAAGTAAAAATGGTATTTTTTTGGTGTTAAAAAATCTTGCCGATCGAAATTTGCTAAAAACGGCCTATGTGTTATATCAGGATTTATTAAATTAGCATTTTACTTCTTAGGACAGCTTTTTAAAACGATTATCAATGTCGAGTATGTCTATTTTTGCTATGCTTATTACTAGCTGGCAGATCACCCAGAAAGGCCCTGGGTCAGCAAGACGGAATCCGACTCGGCGGCAGTGCGACCGCCTAGTAATTAATAAATTAAAAACAAACCAACACGCACATGCCATCGCGGGGAGGAGGGAGCAGAAAATTAGCTGAGAGGTAAAATTAGACGGGATAAAGGATAATCAAATGCTGATTTATGGCAATTTCCAGCCAGCTCTTCAACTTCCGGTGCCAGAAATTAACGAACGTCAGCTGTGTGAGGTCCTGGCGCTCCGACTGACCCTTTTTCATGTTCTGATGCCTTCTCGTGTATGTGTGTGTGAAAATTAGTAGCTAATTTGGCTTGTCATCATTATTGTGTGTTGTGCAAACATTTGTCCGTCTGGCTAACGTGGTGAGGGCAGCGCTGGATGGGATCCGCTGGATCCGTCGGCGAAACAGAGGAGCTCCAAGTCAAACAAGCTGAGCATGACTGGGCATGGGCATTGCTGTAGGTCGCCACTCCCCTTTCCGCCTATCCAAAGGGGTTCACATGGTCATAGTGGGTTATTAATTGAATTCCAAGGCATTTACATGGGAGTTGAGAGATCTCAGATGGAGGAAATCAGATAACCATGAAAGACTAATAAAGAAAGTTTGTTTCACAACTAATCAGCCGAAAGTTCGTGTTGCCCAAAAACAATCCAATATAATGTCAAAAATAATAACTATATTCATTCGCAGAAAAACTTTCAAAGTCCAAGAAAAGTTGTTTAATTTTTGTAAAATTTAAAATGTATTTTTAATAAAACTTTAAAGGTATATCTATAAGCTGTCCAATATTTTTCAAACTAAACCCGTAATTCCGTATCATGGAATTAGTTCATTCTTATAAGATAATAAGAAGGAGAAGCTTTCATCTTTATTCCCGCACTGAGCCTTTACTAAACGCTGCGTAAACTAACACTTTATTTTTAGAATTTTTAATGGCCAATATTGTCTAAAAAGTAGGAATAAAATACACATTGTGGTGTTTTAATACAATATAATATAGATTTAAAAATAGTTTGTTATTTTAGCTCAGTGTATATAAGAAATTAAGTATTTAAAAACTCAGTCAAGCGTAGCCCACATTCAATGCCGTATTTAAGAAGCTAACAATCTTGTGACCTGTCCAATTAATAGCGGCATTCTGCATATTCATGACCCGTTCGATCAATAATCTTCGATCGCAGACATCGACCCACGCCCGATTCACAGCGGTAATTTTGGGGGCGTGTCCCGACATTAAACGTTATGGAAAATTATGCAAATGAAGGCGAGACATGTCAAAATGAAAAAGCTTCAGAAGCTGCGAGCCAAAAGAAGAAAGAAGGTTGAAACGAAAGACTTAGGCAACGAACTCGTTTCGGCAGCGGAATCGAGCGGCGGAATTGTGAAGAGAAACAAAAGAGAGCGAGAGAGAGACACAGCCATAAGTTGATTCATAATTCGCATTAACGATTAATGCTAATCAAATTAATTAAAAAGCCGCCTAAGCAAAAATATGAGATTTTGGCATGATTAATGAAGCAAAGCTCGCGATCTCGGGTCTCAGGCAATTAGCCAGTTTCCATTCGCGATTGTTTGCTAAATATATGCTTCGATATTGTTTCCGCCCCGGTTCAAGTTCAATGACAGCCACCAAAATACTGAAAATAAGCAAAAAGATTACTCTAATCAAGTGTCTGACCTTAACCGAACCTTTTTGCCAGATAATGCGGCAAATGAATGGACCTTAATCACATTAGAAACAATTTCCTTCGTTTTGTACGTGAGGAGGCCCTAAAATTGTTGCCAATTCGGCCGACGAGCAGTGTGCGAAAATGAGAAATCGATTTTGATTACAAACCACAGAAATTGCAATCTAATTTGTCCGAGGGCGTGGCTCCCTCTGATTTAATCTGCTCTCCCAAATTTC